AACAGTTTGGTGCGGAAGAAGCTGAAGAGCGTAGACACGCTGCGGATGATGATGATGATGATGATGATGATGATGATGATGATGATGATGATGATGATGGGCATGAAGCATATGCGAGATATAACAACCACGGGACGTTACCAGCTTTCGACCCCGGCCTCAAGCCCCAGCTGTGTCTGTGTGACCCACTTGGACCGGCGGTGATTGTTCCTGTACAAGCCTCGCACCCACCGGGTCCCTGTGTACCACACCCGCCCCTACAACCCCCGCCCCCATTTGGCCCACCTGGACAAGCCCAGCCCCCATTGCCTTCATCTCCACAAGCAACGACCCCGGCTGAAAAAAGGCAAGAATGGATCCTGGTGAGAACTGTTCGCATCCCACCGTGTTTGTCTACACTGAACCCTCACCCGGAGTGTATGCCCGGCAGCCGATGTCAGGGCCGGCCCACACAGCCTGCGGAGCAACCCCAATCCGGACAAGCCCCGCCCTCTTCACAGACCGCACCCACACAAGCCCCGCCCACAGACGCCGCGTATGGACAACAGCGCAGCGACGGACTCGATACCAGACAAAAAGCTTCCCCACAACAATATCCGCACGACCCCAGACTCCCTCCACCACCCCAGCAGCTCGGGCCCAGACAAGCCCCGCCCCAAGCGAGTCGCACTAGGCAGCAAAGTCCGCCCCCACGGTATGAGCCCGCTCGTCAACGAGCCCAGCTTGATCAGCACAGACAGGAACAAGACGATGTTCACACACAGATCCAGCCACAAATTAACCAGCTGCTACTTGACCAGGCCCAGCTTGACCACCTCTCAATTGGCGGAGCCACGCTTCGCCAGTACTTACAAAATCTGTACTTACATAATGGGGTCGACATCAGCGAGGCCTTTCGGATACAACCCTCTCTACGACGGTTCTATGAGATAGAAGGTCTCATTAGTGAGATCGTACTGGGCCAAGCCCATATAATTTGGCCGGATCTGGAACAAGTCTTAGTTGATCAGCTCGTCCGGATTCAGCCCCGAGTTAATGAGATCATACTGGGAAAAACCGTTGACAGCGGACCCGCTGAGCTCTCCCAGCTACTTCAGGAGCAGCTTTGCATTGTTCTACTCATACAGGACCACAGAAAAGATATTCATCTGCCCGCACACGACCTGGATAGCCAGCAGAGACTGGAGGCACTACGTTCGCTCTTACAAACCGAACTCGAACGTAGCAGGCAGTCATCCCAAGGTAGTCAGCCCGCTCAGGCCCAAGACCCATCTTTTGACCACAACTTCCAGCTTGGACCATCTTCTGACCACAACCGCCAACCAAGACCATCTTCTGACCACAACCTCCAGTTCCGACCATCTTCTGACCACAACCGCCAGCCAAGACCATCTTCTGACCACAACCGCCAGCCAAGACCATCTTCTGACCACAACCCCCAGTCCGGACAATCTTCTGACCACAACCTCCAGTCTGGACCATCTTCTGACCAACACGATCAGCCAGATTCGCCGGACACCTCAGCCCCAGACTTCGGACAAGATCTAGAACCGTCATTTGTGAGCGATGTGACTGAAGTGATAACTATGATCACCAGGATCCGGGACAGATACATGAACATAACACGAACGATGGAAAGGGACAATGACAGACGCAACCAGTCCCAGCAGGTAATCAACCGTGCACATAGTCAGAGAAACACCGCCCAGATTCATCAACGGATTCAGCATACTGGAGCCGTTGCTAGGGAGGTAAGCGACGATAAAAAGGAATGGCTGCTGGAGCAGCTGGACAAGATAGCCAGCCGACTGCTGTAAGTCCAGGTCACAGGAACATCTCACTGTTCCCTAACCCCTGCCCGGTTCCGGGAAGCAGAACCACAAGGGAACAGAAAAAAACACAGATCATGAGACACCTGTTGTTTTTTTAAAAGACTTTTCTGCTGATACTTCAGACATGCTTCCCCGTCCAGGGAAAAGGAACATACCCAGCCAGACGAGCTTCAACCCAAGAGAGAAAACCGGCCCAGTTGACCACATTCCCTAGCCGGTCACTAACACATACACTGCTCGCAACACCCCCCTCCCCTCATCCCCCCAAGGAGTGAATCCAGGTCACCAACACGTCACATCCCCCGAGTCCGTCCTTGTTTCCGCGAAGCAGGATGGCCATGCAGATGTGCAGAGTCGAGACACCGTGATTTAACTGTGAGAATTTTGCTCACCATCCTCTCCCCTCCCCCCGCCCAACCAGACGCGGCCAATGTACTCAGACAGACTAGTTTCGCTCTAAGTCGATCGGACCGGGAAAGGTCTGCCACTAGGATATCATATATGCATCCTTTTCCAGTCTTTAATGACTTGATGGGTGTTTTTTAACTTGGCCGTTTTCAGTCTTTCATGACTTTAAAGTTTTTTTTGTTTTTTTAACTTGGCCGTTTTCAGTCTTTCATGACTTGATGGGTTTTTTTTTAACTTGGCCGTTTTCAGTCTTTCATGACTTGAAAGTTTTTTTAAAAAAACTTGTCCGTTTTCAGTCTTTATTGACTTGAAAGTTTTCTTTTAAAAACTTGGCCGTTTTCAGTCTTTCATGACCTGATGGTTTTTTTTTAACTTGGCCGTTTTCAGTCTTTCATGACTTCAGAGGTTTTTTTAAAACTTGGCCGTTTTCAGTCTTTCATGACTTGATGTTTTTTTAAAACTTGGCCGTTTTCAGTCTTGCATGACTTGGTGTTTTTTTTTTATCATGGCCGTTTTCAGTCTTTCATGACTGGATGGATGGTTCTTTTTTAACTTGGACCTTTTTTAGTCTTTCATGACTTGGTGGTTTTTTTTTAACTTGGCCGTTTTCAGTCTTTCATGACTTGAAAGTTTTTTTTTTAAATTGACCGTTTTCAGTCTTTAACGACTTGAAAGTTCTTTTTTAAGTTGGCCGTTTTCAGTCTTTCATGACCTGATGTGTTTTTTTTTTTATATCTTGGCCCTTTTCAGTCTTTCATGACTTGAAAGTTTTTTTAACTTGGCCGTTTTCAGTCCTTGATGACTTGGATGTTTTTTTTTAACTTGGCCGTTTTCAGTCTTTCATGACCTGATGTGTTTTTTTTTTTAATATCTTGGCCCTTTTCAGTCTTTCATGACTTGAAAGTTTTTTTAACTTGGCCGTTTTCAGTCCTTGATGACTTGGATGTTTTTTTTTAACTTGGCCGTTTTCAGTCTTTCATGACTAAATGCTGTTTTAAACTTGGCCGTTTTCAGTCTTTCATGACTTGAAATTGAAAGTTTTTTTTTTTTTTACTTGGCCATTTTCAGTCTTTCATGACTTGATGGATGGTTCTTTTTTAACTTGGCCGTTTTCAGTCTTTCATGAGTTGATGGTTTTTTTCGCTTGGCCGTTTTCAGTCGTTCATGACTTGATGGCTTTTTAAAAACTGGGCCGTTTTTAGTCTTTCAAGACTAGGTTTTTTTTTAACATGGCCGTTTTCAGTCTTTCATGACTTGAAAGTTCTTTTTTCGCTTGGCTGTTTTCAGTCTTTCATGACTTGAAAGTTAAAAAAAAAAAAACTTGGCCGTTTTCAGTCCTTGATGACTTGGATGGTTTTTTTAAAACTTGGCCGTTTTCAGTCTTTCATGACTAAATTATGTTTTTAACTTGGCCGTTTTTAGTCTTTCATGACCTGATGGCTTTTTTTTAACATGGCCGTTTTCAGTCTTTCATGACTTGATGGATGGTTCTTTTTTAACTTGGCCGTTTTCAGTCTTTCATGACTTGAAAGTTTTTTTTTTTTTAACTTGACCGTTTTCAGTCTTTCATGACTTGATGAGTTTTCTAACTTGGGCCGTTTTTAGTCTTTCATGACCTGATGTTTTTTTTTAGCTTGGCCGTTTTTAGTCTTTCATGACTTGATGGCTTTTTAAAAAAATGGCCGTTTTCAGTCTTTCATGACCTGATGACTTTGTTTTTTTTAGCTTGGCCCTTTTCAGTCTTTCATGACTTGAAAGTTTTTTTTAACTTGGCCGTTTTCAGTCTTTCATGACCTGATGTTTTTTTTAATTGGCCGTTTTCAGTCTTTCATGACTTGAAAGTTAAAAAAAAAAAACTTGGCCGTTTTCAGTCTTTATTGACTTGAAAGTTTTCTTTTAAAAACTTGGCCGTTTTCAGTCTTTCATGACCTGATGGGTTTTTTTTTTAACTTGGCCGTTTTCAGTCTTTCATGACTTCAGAGGTTTTTTTTAAAACTTGGCCGTTTTTAGTCTTTCATGACTTGAAAGTTTTTTTTGTTTAATTGACCGTTTTCAGTCTTTCACGACTTGAAAGTTCTTTTTTTAACTTGGCCGTTTTCAGTCTTTCATGACTTGATGTTTTTTTAAAACTTGGCCGTTTTCAGTCTTGCATGACTTGGTGTTTTTTTTTTATCATGGCCGTTTTCAGTCTTTCATGACTGGATGGATGGTTCTTTTTTAACTTGGCCGTTTTCAGTCTTTCACGACTTGAAAATTCTGTTTTAAAACTTGGTCGTTTTCAGTCTTTCACGACTTGAAAGTTCTTTTTTAACTTGGCCGTTTTCAGTCTTTCATGACTAGATGTTTTTTTAAAACTTGGCCGTTTTCAGTCTTTCACGACTTGAAAGTTCTTTTTTAACTTGGCCGTTTTCAGTCTTTCATGACTAGATGTTTTCTTAAAACTTGGCCGTTTTCAATCTTTCATGACCTGATGTGTTTTTTTTTTTATATCTTGGCCCTTTTCAGTCTTTCATGACTTGAAAGTTTTTTTAACTTGGTCGATTTCAGTCCTTGATGACTTGGATTGTTTTTTTTTAACTTCGCCGTTTTCAGTCTTTCATGTCTAAATGCTGTTTTAAACTTGGCCGTTTTCAGTCTTTCATGACTTGAAATTGAAAGTTTTTTTTTTTTACTTGGCCATTTTCAGTCTTTCATGACTTGATGGATGGTTCTTTTTTAACTTGGCCGTTTTCAGTCTTTCATGAGTTGATGGTTTTTTTCGCTTGGCCGTTTTCAGTCGTTCATGACTTGATGGCTTTTTAAAAACTGGGCCGTTTTTAGTCTTTCAAGACTAGATTTTTTTTTTAACATGGCCGTTTTCAGTCTCTCATGACTTGAAAGTTCTTTTTTCGCTTGGCTGTTTTCAGTCTTTCATGACTTGAAAGTTTTAAAAAAAAAACTTGGCCGTTTTCAGTCTTTATTGACTTGAAAGTTTTCTTTTAAAAACTTTGCCGTTTTCAGTCTTTCATGACCAGATGTTTTTTTTTTTTAGCTTGGCCCTTTTCAGTCTTTCATGACTTGAAAGTTTTTTTAACTTGGCCTTTTTCAGTCCTTGATGACTTGGATTGTTTTTTTTTTAACTTGGCCGTTTTCAGTCTTTCATGACTAAATTCTGTTTTTAACTTGGCCGTTTTTAGTCTTTCATGACTAAATTCTGTTTTTAACTTGGCCGTTTTTAGTCTTTCATGACCTGATGGCTTTTTTTTAACATGGCCGTTTTCAGTCTTTCATGACTTGATGGATGGTTCTTTTTTAACTTGGCCGTTTTCAGTCTTTCATGACCTGATGTTTTTTTTTTTTTTTTTAGCTTGGCCCCTTTTCAGTCTTTCACGACTTGAAAGTTCTTTTTTTAACTTGGCCGTTTTCAGTCTTTCATGACTTGATGTTTTTTTCTAAAAACTTGGCCGTTTTCAGTCTTTCATGACTTGAAAGTTGTTTTTTTTTAACTTGACCGTTTTCAGTCTTTCACGACTTGATGGTTTTTCTTTAACTTTTCTGTTTTCAGTCTTTCATGACTTGAAAGTTTTTTAAAACTTGGCCGTTTTCAGTCTTGCATGACTTGATGGTTTTTTTTAACTTGGCCGTTTTCAGTCTTGCATGACTTTGTGGTTTTTTTTTATCATGGCCGTTTTCAGTTTTTCATGACTGGATGGATGGTTCTTTTTTAACTTGGCCGTTTTCAGTCTTTCATGACTTGAAAGTTCTTTTTAATTTGGCCGTTTTCAGTCTTTCATGACTAGATGTTTTTTTTTAACTTGGACGTTTTCAGTCTTTCACGACTTGATGATTTTTTTTAACTTGGCCGTTTTCAGTCTTTCATGACTTGATGGTTTTTTTCTAAAAACTTGGCCGTTTTCAGTCTTTCATGACTTGAAAGTTGTTTTTTTTTAACTTGACCGTTTTCAGTCTTTCACGACTTGATGGTTTTTCTTTAACTTTTCTGTTTTCAGTCTTTCATGACTTGAAAGTTTTTAAAAACTTGGCCGTTTTCAGTCTTGCATGACTTGAAAGTTCTTTTTAATTTGGCCGTTTTCAGTCTTTCATGACTAGATGTTTTTTTTAACTTGGCCGTTTTCAGTCTTTTATGACTTGATGGGTTTTTTTTTATAACTTGGCCATTTTCAGTCTTTCATGACTTGATGGTTTTTGTAACTTGGCCGTTTTCAGTCTTTCATGACTTGATGGTTTTTTTTAACTTGGCCGTTTTCAGTCTTTCATGACTTGATGGATTTTTTTAAAAACTTAGCCGTTTTCAGTCTTCAATGACTTGATGGCTTTTTTAACTTTGCCGTTTTCAGTCTTTCATGACTTGATGGTTTTTCTAACTTGGCCGTTTTCAGTCTTTTATGACTTGATGGTTTTTTTTTATAACTTGGCCATTTTCAGTCTTTCATGACTTGATGGTTTTTGTAACTTGGCCATTTTCAGTCTTTCATGACTTGATGGTTTTTATAACTTGGCCATTTTCAGTCTTACATGACTTGATGGGTTTTTTTAAACATCGCCGTTTTCAGTCTTACATGACTTGATGTTTTTTTTTAACTTGGCCGTTTTCAGTCTTTCATGACTGGATGATTTTTTAAAACTTGGCCGTTTTCAGTCTTACATGACTTGATGGCTTTTTTTAACGAAGCCACTTTCAATCTTTCAGGACTTGATGAATTTTTTTAAAAAATTGGTCGTTTTCAGTCTTTCATGGTGGTTTTTCTAACTTGGCCGTTTTCAGTGTTTCATGACTTGTTGGTTTTTTTTTTAAACATGGCCGTTTTCAGTCTGTCATGACTTGACTGCTTTTTTTTTTTAACTTGGCCGTTTTCAGTCTTTCATGACTTGATGTTTTTTTTAAAACTTGGCCGTTTTCAGTCTTTCATGACTTGATAAAAAAAAAAAACTTTGTCGTTTTCAGTCTGTCATGACTTTATTGTTTTTTTACTTGGCCTTGTGCTATTGGTGTTGCTGGTATTCAATTTGTATTAGTATTGATGTTGTATTAGTATTCAATTTGTATTAGTATTGATGTTGTATTAGTATTCAATTTGTATTAGTATTGATGTTGTATTAGTATTCAATTTGTATTAGTATTCAGCTTGTATTAGTATTCAATTTGTATTAGTATTGATGTTGTATTAGTATTCAATTTGTATTAGTATTCAGCTTGTATTAGTATTCAATTTGTATTAGTATTGATGTTGTGTTATTATTTCAATTTGTATTAGTATTG